ATCTTTGTACTAGAATAATCTTTGATTCCAGATCAAGCTGGCGTTGATGACATCGTAGAAGGAATAGGCAATCTGTTCGTGGCCGTGGCTGGAGAAGAGGAAGGGATAAATCTCAACAAGTTGACCATTCGTGATGCCGAACCTGGAGAAATCTTGTAGAATTGGACCACTAGCCCGTCCCTATTTCAACCAGAGTCCTGGTAGTGTGGAAAAGTAGTCTTAATTTTAAAATTCGCATGATCAAATTGAGGCTTGAATCATGCCTAATCTTTTGTTGCTTGCCTCTTCTAAAAAGCTAGAATGCTTTGAAATAAAAAGTCTTTATTTTCTTTAAAAAGTTTCTCGTTATTTTAAATATGTATTTATCTTTACTTACCTTTTGCACTTTTCACCACTCATATTAAATAAAAATCCTCATTCAACGGTTATGACATGTAACGAATCCACTGAGCAAGGTGAAAGCGATGAACAAGATCATAAAAAGTACGATGAAAGCATGATGCCGGAAAATCTACCACATGAGATCGAGCAAGTTGAAAGTCAGAAAAAACCCAATATGGATGAAACAGAGAATGTCAACTTAGGAGATGAGGAAATCGTGAAGGAAACACAAGTCAGCATACATTTGGAGGCTGAAAGAAAGCATGAATTAATAGAGTTGCTTAAGAAGTATGTTGACGTATTTGCTTGGTCTTATGATGACATGCCAGGATTAAGCACTGATATTGTCTCGCACAAATTACCTATTGATCCCACTTGTCTACCTGTTAAGCAAAAGACAAGAAAATTCAAGCTAGATTTAAGCTTAAGGATCAAGGAGGGGGTAACTAAGCAAATTGAGGCGGACGTTGTAAGGGTTACAAATTACCCCACATGGTTAGCCAATATTGTGCCTGTGCCAAAAAAGGATGGAAAGATTAGAATATGTGTGAACTATCGAGATCTCAACAGAGCCAGTCCTAAGGATGATTTCCCTCTTCCAAATATTCATATACTCATTGATAATTGTGCAAAACATGAGTTGCAATCATTTGTCGATTGCTTTGCAGGGTATCACCAAATCCTAATGGATGAAGATGATGTAGAAAAGACAGCGTTTATCACTCCATGGGGAGTGTATTGCTACAAAGTAATGCCATTTGGTCTCAAAAATGCCAGTGCAACCTACATGAGGGCCATGACTACTCTTTTTCACGATATGATCCATAAGGAAATTGAAGTGTACGTGGATGACGTCATTATCAAATCCAAAAGAAGTTCAGACCACCTGAATGACTTACGAAAGTTCTTTGAGAGGTTGCGTAAGTATAATCTGAAGTTGAATCCAGCAAAGTGTGAATTTGGAGTACCCGCGGGAAAACTATTGGGATTCATCGTTAGCAGGAAAGGCATAGAGTTGGATCCATCAAAGATAAAGGCAATCCAAGAGCTACCTCCACCTAAGACCAGGAAGGATGTGATGAGTGTAACATCCGACAATTTAAAATGAATATGAAGAAGCTTGAAATTGGAAGTAGTCATTTTTGGAAAAAAATTCAGAATCTGGAAATTCGGCCAAGTGTGGAAATCAGTGAGTTTTTGGCCAACTTTGAACAGTCATAACTCCTAGCTCAGGATGACCCAGGAGTAGTTCCAGTTATGTTTGGAAAGCCCTTGGAACGATCTTTCCAACTCCACCGAGTTTGCTCAATTCCGAGTTCGTATGAGCGAGTTATGCCCTTTGAAAGTTGGGCAGTTGGCAGGGAGTCCGTCCGGAAATTTAAGGACATTTTGGTCTTTTCACAAATCATTTCTTTTGAGGTTATATTGTTGTGTTAGGCTGATTGTGGATCATTTTTGTTCCATTTTAAAAGAGTAAGAGTTAGGGTTCTTGAGTGAAGAAGAGAAGAAGAGAGAAAGAAGAGAAGAAGAAGAAGAAGTGGGAGCTAGGGTTGTGGATGCAAGACGTTTTCTTCATCAAATTTCTTGGGGAATCTTAGTAAAGGTATGGGAGTTCTTTATCTAGGGCAAGCTATCACCCTAGAGCCAATTTCAAATGGTTTTCAACTTTTCCAAAGTTTGTGAAAGAGCCTAATTTCTACTCAAACTCATGGGTTCTTGCATGAAACGATTTCAAATGATAAGTTATGATATTATTGATGTTTATTTGATGTTTTAAGATGAAAAACTCCATGAATCCTTGTATTCTACAAAACCCCAAAATGTGTTTATGAAGTGGGTCTATTTTTATAAATTCAAAGTTGATGGAATTATGTGTAAAGTGAATTGTATTGATATCTCTTGTGTTGTTTAATGTTTATTCATGATTAATTGTTGATAATGGGTGAATTAAGGGTGGTAAGACTTATGAGTGAAGTATTGGTGATTGCTTGGATTTTTCGTGATTTTGGCTATGGCTTTGAATTATGGTAAGAAAGCTTGAACTCTCTTTATTGAATTAATTGTTGTTGGTAGGTTGAATCCACCTTTCGTGAAAGTGTTATATCTTGTTCTTGTGTGGTATTATTGTGAATTGTAGCCATGAAGTCATTGGGGAAGTTGTTGCATAATGTTGGAATATTGTATTATTGTGAATTGAGGCCATGAAGGGCATTATATGAGTGTTATTGTATTGTTATATTATTATATATGAATGATGCTATATGTAAAGTCCTATATGAAGCTATATGTAAAGTTTTATGTGAAGCTATATGTGAAGGTATGATGTGAATAAGTTTTATGTGAAGCTATATGTGAAGCTATGATGTGAATGAGTTTTATATGAAACTATATGTGAAGGTATGATGTGAATGAGTTTTATGTGATCTTGTGATGATCCTATGTAAAGTGGATAGCATTGTGAGTTAAAGTATGATTTCTCATGATGTATATATGAAATGATGTTGGATTATGAAGTATCCTTAAATGAAAATGTTGTGACTTGGTTGGTAGACTAAAGTGTCCCTCCTTGTTACTTAAAGTCTTGAATGCATGAATGTGTGAAATGGGCAGAACTAAGAAATGGTGCCCTTTCTATAAATGCTAAAAGAGGAATTCTAGGCCAAGACTTGAATCGACTAAACTAAGAAATGGTGCCCTTTCATAAGTCTAGCTTTCCTAAGTAAATGTAAAACCATGAAATCAGTAGACCTAATGGTGGTAGCCCTTCTCATGTGTGAAATGATGAACCTTGGACCGGCAGGCTTAAGGCACCCTTAATGAAAAATCGGTAGGCCTAAGGCACCCTTCCAGGGGGATTTAATGAGCTATCCTTATGAACCTTGATTCGTCATGACTAAGAAATGGGGCCTTTCTTGGGAAGAGGTACTATGAGTTGGTTGAACTAGAAAAGGAACCTTCTCTAAGTACATATGTGATTGAATACTCTATGGGAAACAAGGCTAGCACCGAGTGGATGTGGTTAAGAAGGTGGCCTAGTTGAGTATGAGATTAGGCACAATGAACTTCCTTGGACATCCCCTAAACCATGTGCCTACATGGGTTGTTTACTAGTTCTACCTTTGGCAAGTAGAACAACCTCCACGGAGTAGGATAGACTCCGGATTCCATACCTAGCTAGTATGGTCTATGTCGGTTATGCCTATTCCCATCATGTGGGATGCGCACTCTAGTTATTGGATAGGTTCTACAACGTGTAGGTAGTAGTATGGGATGCTATCTACACATGGCACGAGTAGGCTTTGAAGATACTAAGGTGAGTTCCTTAAGTCTAACGACTATTATGTGAAAGTCCCCTTATGTGCTTGAATGTCTCCAAAAAAAATGGTTTCTTAAAGAATGTTGGTCTATTGATGTTATGTTGTAAAGGAAATGTCCTTATCTAAGGTAATCTTGAGGAACACTTAAGTGTGCTTGAAGAGGTTGTATGGGCGGTCACTTCTTGTCTTACTCAAGTGTGTCTTAAGGTTATATTAGGTAGAGGTCCTATGGTAATGAAATGACATGTGTTCCTTTAAAGTTAAGCATGGGTTGTATATGAATATATGTTGAGTATGTATACGGTTGGCTATGGTTTTATATGTGAACATTGACTTAGTATGTTATATTGTAATGGTAAATTTCCTTATCTATGGTAACCCTTAGGAACACTTAGGTGTATATGAAGAGATTGTATGGGCGGTCACTTCATGTTTCACTTAAGTGTGGCTTTGGGTAACTTGAGATAGAGGTCAAGAAATGATGAAAAAGCTTACTTGTCAATTATGTTCATGTGTTGTACATTGGTACTAGTTGTGCATGATGGCTTGTGATATGAAGCATGATAAGTGGTAAGTTCACATTTGGTGGCCTTAGGATAATGCTTTAGTGTTGATGGTGGTATGGGACGCTATCCATACATCGCACAAAGTGTTGTCCAAGGGTTACTTGAGGTGGATGGTTTAAGGTGAAGGAATGGGTTATGTGTGGAGTATGTGCTAAAGTGGTTAATGACTTGTATGTTGGTTATGGTTGGATATTGTGACTCTTATACTTGTATTTTTTTCATTAAGTTTTACCAAATGGCATTAAAACATGTTTCTCCAATAAACGTCCCTTTTAGCATGTTTTTGCATGGCTTCCATACTTAGTACTTAATTGTGCTAACCCCTTTCTTTCCCTTTTTGACTAAAGTGTAGGGATTTAGAGATGGTGACATGTCATGGCTATTTGATAGGTTTCTAAGTGTTGAAGATTAAGACTTGGTGAGTCCTCATATATTCGAGGACAATACCCCATATGTTCGTTTATGTCTTTTTAGTATTGTTTAAGTTGTGTATGGGATTGGTCCCGAATTTTGTACTCTAAAGTATTAGATGGTTTTGAGATATCATGTATAAAGTTTAGAAAGGCTTCCGCTTGCTATTTTTTTTTTTAATGAAATGTTTTCTTGGTAAAGAAAGTTTTTAATTCCTTATGATTTTTAGTGTTATGCGATGAATGAATGCTAAGAGGCTTGTATTAGACCTCCAAGAGGTCGAGTACGCCGGTTACGACTAAGGGGGTGCTCTCGGGTCGTGACAATGAGTTTCTTGGGAAGACTGAATTACATCAGTCGGTTCATAGCTCAATCCATAGTGATCTGTGAACCCATATTCAAGTTACTGAAGAAGGATGCTACCACAAAATGGACCGAGGAATGCCAAAGGGCTTTCGATAGAATCAAAGAATACTTGTCCAACCCACCAGTATTGGTCCCACCAGAGCCTGGAAAGCCGTTGTTATTGTATCTATTTGTCATGGATAATGCATTTGGATGTGTATTGGGGCAGCATGATGAGACGGGTAGAAGAGAGCAAGCTATATACTATTTGAGCAAGAAGTTCACACCATACGAGGCAAGATACACCTTGTTGGAACGAACATGTTGTGCTTTGACTTGGATTGCACAAAAATTTAGGCATTGCCTGTCTGCATACACCACGTATGTGATCTCAAGAATGGATCCACTAAAGTACGTCTTTCAGAAGCCCATGCCTACGGGTAAATTGGCAAAGTGACAAATTTTATTGAGCGAGTTTGATATTATGTATGTGACACAGAAGGCCATCAAAGGACAAGCCTTGGCTGATCACCTCGCAGAAAATCCGGTGTACCAGGATTACAAGCCACTCATGACCTACTTCCCTGATGAAGAGGTATTGTTTCTAGGAGTAGATATATCAGAATTGTATGATAGATGGAGAATGTTCTTTGATGGGGCATCAAACTCTATAGGAGTTGGAATATGAGTAGTTTTAATTTCGAAAACAGGTTAGTATTACCCAATCTCAGCCAAGATTAGGTTCTACTGTACCAATAACATGGTGGAATATGAAACTTGTATTCTCGGACTCAAAATGGCCATAGACATGAATATCAAAGAACTCTTGGTGATAGGAGACTCCGACTTGTTGGTTCATCAAGTGCAAGGAGAATGGACCACTAAGAATGTCAAGATCCTTCCTTATTTGCATTACATAAAAGAGTTGAGTATGAGATTCACAAGGATTGAGTTCAAGCATGTCCCTTGAGCTCAAAATGAGTTTGCCGATGCTTTGGCAACATTGTCCTTGATGATTCAACACCCAGACAAGAATTACATCAAACCTATCGATATAGAGATACATGATAAACATGCATACTGTTTTCATGTAGATAAGGAACTGGATGGAAAACCATGGTACTATGACATCAGAAGATTGATAGAGCACAAGAATATCCTGAAAATGCTACAAGCAAGCAAAAACGGATTTTGAGGAGGATGGCCAATCATTTCTTCCTTAACGGAGAAATCCTATATAGGAGAACTTCGGATTTGGGATTGCTGAGGTGTGTCGACGCCGCAGAAGCGACAAGGATTTTGGAAGAAATACATGCAGGAACATGTGGACCTCGCATGAATGGGTTCACTTTAGCAAATAAGATTTTAAGAGTGGAAACTTTTGGATGACCATAGAGAGAGATAGCATCCGATATGTGCAAAAGTGTCATCAATGTCAGGTGCATGGAGATCTTATATGGGTTCCACCGAATGAGATCAATGTGATGGGTTCCCCTAGGCCATTTGCTGCTTGGGGCATGGATGTTTTTGGACCCATAGAGCCTCCCGCGTCAAATAGACATCGTTTCATCATGGTGGCTATCGATTATTTCACAAAATGGGTCGAAGCTTCGACATACAAGGCAGTGACTAAGAAGGTAGTGGCAGACTTTGTTCGCAACAACATAGTTTGTCGATTTGGAATTCCAGAATCAATCATAACCGATAATGCAGCCAACCTCAACAATGATCTTCTTGTCAAAGGTTCAAGATTTCTCATCGAAATTCCACGGTTTACCGTCCACAGATGAATGGGGCAGTTGAGGCTGCAAATAAGAATATCAAGAAGATTTTAAGGAAAACAGTAGACAGTCACATGCAATGACATGAGAAGCTACCATATGATTTACTCGGTTATCGCACCACAATCAGAACATCAACTGGGGCAACTCCTTATATGTTGGTCTATGGTTCGGAGGCAGTAATACTTGTCAAGGTAGAAATACCATCTTTAAAGATTATCCAAGAGGTTGGTCTGGATGATGCATAATGGATACGTAGCAGGCATGAACAGTTGATGCTCATCGATGAAAAGAGGATGGACGCGGTTTGTCATGGACAACTCTATCAAAACAGAATGACCAAAGCATTCAACAAGAAAGTTAAACCTCGATAGTTCACATCGGGGCAGTTAGTATTGACGAAGATCTTTCTTCACCAAGAAGAAGCCAAAGGGAAATTTGTACCAAATTGGCAAGGACCGTACATGGTTCATAGAGTACTCTCTGGAAGAGCGGTAATCTTAGCAGAAATGGACGTCAGAGTGAGCACAAAGCCAATCAATTTAGACGCCATCAAGAAATACTACATCTGAAGACCTCAAGATTAGTGCTTATTTCTTGTACTTTTGCATTTTTGATGTAACAGAACTACGTCTAGACTTGACTTCCCACGGTGGGGTACGTAGGCAACCCATATTGGATGCTGTCTCCCTTAGAAAACCTAATATCATCATTTCCATGTATTCAGAATTACGCTCGATCGAATTCCCTCGGTGGGATACGTAGGCAATCCTTGTCAGATTTGGTCCCTTGCATTTCATATTTTTCACTTTCCTTTGTATTTGAACTACATCCTGACCTGATTCCGCTTAGATACGTAGGCTGCCTGAGTCAGGCCCGGTCATTGTATTTCATATTTTTCACTCTCCCATATTGTATTTGAACTACGTCCTGACCTGATTCCGCTTGGATACGTAGGCAACCTGAGTCAGGCTCGGTCATTGCATTGGATGTTTCTTACTTTTTCCTCGCATACTTTTTTCACTTACTCATTGTATTCGAACTACGTTACGACCTGATTCCACTTGGATACGTAGGCAGCCTGAGTCAGGCTCGGTCATTGCATCACAAGTTTCCTACTTTTCCTTCATATTTTTCAGTCTTCTATTGTAATTGAACTACGTTACGACCTGATTCCATTTGGATACGTAGGCAGCTTGAGTTAAGCTTGGTCATTGCATTGCATACTTCTATTTCTCCCACTTGTATTCGAACTACATTACGATCTAATTCCTACTTTAGGAATATGTAGGCAACCTGAGTCAGGCTCGATCAATGCACTACATAATTTCCAATTTTTTCTTACCCTTAGGAAACACTTCCTCATAGTTAGCATAACCTCAGAATATGAAGAATCTCAATCGTCGCAGTGTCTACAAAAGAGCTCGTCAAGCTTCATCATGAGGGTAAAATCTACAAGAAGACTATGTTGGATATAGTCAATAAAATGGAAAGCTCGATGGACTTCGAAACATGTCATAATCTAAAAAATGCGGGAGAATTACTACATATATACATATATATATATATACTTAATATATAAGTAATATACTTATTTTGTAGAAAGAAAAAACAAGCTAATTCTTTTCAAAAGATTTTTCTACTATTCCATCTACCAAGTCTCTAGGTTAAGAAACTATGTGCAGACATATATATATATATACTTAATATATAAGTAATATACTTATTTTGTAGAAAGAAAAAACAAGCTAATTCTTTTCAAAAGATTTTTCTACTATTCCATCTACCAAGTCTCTAGGTTAAGAAACTATGTGCAGGCTAAGAAGACGTCGAAATATTCCAGTGACGAGGTTTCAGTTTGCGAGTCGATACAAATCAACACCCCCTCCCAAACTAAATAATTTTCTTTGAGTGCAGGAACACAAGAATCAAGAAAATAACATCAAGTCTCGGGGCACAACCAGAGGCGCCATTCGACTTCTACAATCATAAGCCAAAATACACTTTTCCTACTTTATTTCCCGAATGTACTTCAACTCGCATCTTATATCTAATAACATTTCATTTTTTGCAGGTACGCTCGAGATCCATTTCAAATAGTGAAGAAAAGAGGATCCTCGTAGGAAAATAAGATAGTTAGCTTTCTGTCAAAATAACTCCACCAATTGGAGTTTGTAATGTAACCTCATCAATAACTCCACCGATCGGAGGCTGTACATAGCAAACATCGTCGAACTCTGCCAACCGGAGGCTATACATAGCAAACATTGATCAAATTCCGCCAATCGAAGCACATATATAAGCAAAAGAAGCAACACTCCGCCAATCAAAGACTAACATCGTAGCGACGTCACTGAAGCTCCACCGCCCTAGGGCATGCAAGCATAGCGACACTGTCATACGCTAACAATAATATGTTACATTACAAGCTTTACACAGCCGGATACATGCTTTTACATTACAACAGTCCCGCCAAGCGGAGGTCTACATTACAACCTTTACACAGCCGGATACATACTTTTACATTACAACAGCCCCGCCAGTCGAGGGCCTTTACATTACAAGTTACTTTACCTACATCACATTCATAACACAAAAAACGGGGACATCAATAATCGTTTGGACATCTACACTCTACTCTTTACATTCCAATTTCAATTTATAATTTTTGAGCACAACATGTACTTTTCACCTTTTTACATGTTTTGCAGGACAACACATTACAACGAGGAACTCCCTCTAAGCAGCAAACTAGGGCAAGTTAGTGCAATGTCAAGCAACACTAGCTACGTCAAAGATTCACTTTCAAAAGTTCAGATAACTCTCTCAGGTCCCACTTCATTATAACCCGACACTGGGGAATTCTTTTTAAAAAATCATCCATCTACCATAAGTCTCCAGTAGAAATTGCTACGGAGCATTTCTCATTCATGTTCTTTAAAACTATATCTCGTCCCTTTATTCGTGCCAATCTCTTCAAACCTCACCACCAAAACATTTCAGTATTACCATAATTCGATGCTGGGGTAAATTTTTTAACATAACAATTGTTATGTTCCTGCACTCTCGAACTACATATTGCTTGATTTCTCATGAAACCTGAGATATATAGGCAACTCAGAAGCCAGAGTTCGGCCATAACTCCATTAACATTTCTTGCCGAGTTTTGCTCAAGGTGTATTTTAGTGGGTCGCCTAAAATTGAATCGTGTCAATGTTTCTTTGTCCACGTCTTCTCTACTCTCTTCCATGGACAAAGAAAGGGGCAAGCTGTTGACTCCCAATTTTGGCTCTCCACATTTGTTTAACCAAAATTTTAATCATAATAATAAAAAAAATATAAATAATAAAATATATATATGCTATGATTTTTTGTAGAAAAAAAAGATTTTTAATTATTTATTTTATTTGATAAATTTATTTCATAAATACTATTTTTATAAATAAATTAAACATATTATATAAATATTACTACTTACTTTCTCATTTTATAATTTCACGTCAAATAAATATTATTTTTTAAGGTTTAACTCAATTTTTCTAATTAAATATAATTTCTATTATAGCGATAAATATTTTTGAGATTTTTCAAAATGAGGAAGAATTAATTAATTAATCAGTTGCTAATTTATATTAATTTTATTTTTTAGAATCACTAATTTTAACAAATAAGCTAGTCTTGCAAAAATTATTATTTTAAATTTAATAAACTATTTCTATTTAATAAAGAAGAGGTTATAATTTAAATGGAGTTAATTTGAGCAAATTTGGCAATCCAAGTAATTTTAATTCGGCCAATCCACGCGTGCCACATAAAAAGCACATGGATTGTGCTTCTTCATATTCGATCTCAACCATCCGATTTAATCCAACTGCTTTAATTAATTCATCTTTATATATATATATATAATTTTCTTTTTTAAAACCCTTTATTTTATGAACCGTCTGATCAAATGATCGGACGTTTGAGATCAAACCAAAGACTTTTCGCCTTTCCCAGACTAGACCCAACGCTGCATCTTCTTCTTCTTTCTTCAGAAAAAGACTTCTCCTTTCCAAGACTGGTCTCTTCCCCAAAACTTCTTCTCCATAGCCCCCAAGCTCCTCCTCCATCTATGCTAGCATCGCCGCCCACATACACTCCAGGCTCCTCTCCCATCGACGTCTCCTCACCACCCCACGTGATCCCCCATCCCCTCTGTCAGATAGACCACTCCGGGCTGCTGAAAAAATGCCCCATCAGTCATTCAACCCTCTCAAATCGACCTGAAAAGGTTGAATTTTTCTTCCCCTTCATGATTTCTTTGATTTATTCCTCTGAGAGTTGCGTTTCCAAGAATTCAAATTTGAATTCTTGGAGCCCAAATCGCCTATTAAAGGAGGACTTAGGTCCTCATTCAAAAAATTAGAAAAACGGGCAAAGAGATCCATAAAACGAGCAAAAATCATCCAACAAGGAGTCGAAGATATCCAAGCAATAGAGAGTAAAGAAGATAAGGACAATAAACTTCAAGAACAATGGTTCGACAACCTTTCATCTTTTGTCTTTCTATTTTGGCTTTGAATCCAAGTCCGAAGAAGAGTTGGAATTCTTGACGTAAAAGTTGTAGTTTGCTACTCCAAAGAAGCGCGTCTGGAGGTGTAACACGACTCTGGTCTGACTCATATCAGAAAAGCATTACCAGCTGTGTTTTCGCTCGAGTTTAGCATCCACATTTCGTCATCGATTTCGTCATAGAGTCGGGATTACAATTATCGGCCCATAAGGAATAAGAGTCTAAAATCTTCAGTTCCTCACTTCCTTTTTACATCGACTTGTCTATATATACATATATGTTACTAACTCATTTACTTATATATTTTTCTTGGGTTATTGCTCTATGAGCGGACTCGTAGAAACCAATTAGTAACAACAAAGTTTGATTGCTCGCCTTTTTTTTTGTGGCTTTTGTGAGCTTAAGATGGGTAAAACTTGCTAATTAGTTTCTAGTTACCTTGCTTAACTTTTTC